TACAGTAGCAGGTGCTAATACAGTAGCAGGTGCTAATACAGTAGCAGGTGCTAATACAGTAGCAGGTGCTAATACAGTAGCAGGTGCAGGTGCTAATACATTAGCAGGTGCTAATACAGTAGCAGGAGCAGCTGCTAATACAGTAGCAGGTGCAGCTGCTAATACAGTAGCAGGTGCTAATACAGTAGCAGCTGCTAATACAGTAGCAGGTGCTAATACAGTAGCAGGAGCAGCTGCTAATACAGTAGCGGGAGCAGCTGCTAATACAGTAGCGGGTGCAGCTGCTAATACAGTAGCAGGTGCAGCTGCTAATACAGTAGCAGGTGCAGCTGCTAATACAGTAGCAGGTGCAGCTGCATGTTTTTGCAATAAAAATGTTATGTTGTAATGGAATTCATGCATTAGTTTTTGTTTGCTTTGAACCCAGAGCAGACGTCACACGCCAGACGACATCAACACTGCATACTTTAGTATTTGTTCATTTATCGTGAGTAATATCGATATCGCAATATTAAGCACTTTTATCGAATATCGCAGGTTTTCCTAATATCGTGCAGCCCTAATCTAAATAAAGAATTGGTTTCAGAGGGCGTTTCAGATAGTTTTGTTGGTGCATGATTCATCAGAACTTCATGAAAATTAGTAACAGCCTGAACAGAGATAGTAAGCGAGCTAGTGTTAGCTTCATTTTTGCCAACTTTTCTACATGAAAATACATTAAAATTTACAAAAAATCTGGAATATTATTTTGATTAAACTTTTGCAATATGAGGTTTTTATCTTACACAATAATTCAGACACAGTAATGGTGCCATGTTATTGGCGGAGGTTTTTAGATACACGCTTTATGATGAGGACAAAGCCATTTTTACCGCAGTTTTGCTCAAAAACATCAGTTCAGTCCCTGTGATCCACTTGCTGTTCACCTCCTCTCTCCCTCCTCTCCTGTGGGTTGGAACCCGCACCTTCGCACACTGGTGTGACGTCATCAGAATTCTGCTCGGTTCGGCAACCAGACTCGGTTCCGTGTTTGAAATGTGTTTCCCTACCGCGCACGGAAGCGGCAAAATTACGTTTAGCGCTCCTAAGAAGCGGATTCTCAGCGCTCTGCTCATAAAACAGAAGACCTGCAGGCCTCTGAGTTAATCCTGATACTGTTCAGGTGTAAACACTGTGCTTCATCCCTGTGTTTGAACTCAGAAGATGCTTCTTGATGCCACAGATATGTGATGATTGAGCTTTTTCTTTATTTTACTCCAGAATAAGAGATTAAATTATTACTAAAGCAGTTCAGTGTAGTTAGTCATTCACATGATTCTAACATGCTGTGTGTGTGTGTGTGTGTGTGTGTGTGTGTGTGTGTGTGTGTGTGTGTGTGTGTGTGTGTGTGTGTGTGTGTGTGTGACTGCATAAGACAGCATGGCAAAGTAATGGCTCAGGAAAATAACTTGTATTTAATAAACAATGATGTCTCTGCAGTGTTTATGATAATGTTTTATCTTATATTGGACCTATCTTTGGTCTGGGAGGTGTAACATATCATGATACAAGCCTTTTAAAACATGTTAAAGTGTTACAAGAGGAGATAAATGCATGAATTTGAAGTTCATATTTGGAGACCAACCTTCACAGTCTGGAGAATCACGCTGGTGAGGAGACACCATTAGTTCTAGTAACACCTGGGCTCCCCAAGGCCTGTTCTGACAGGATGTACGTTACGGGACCCTTAAGGATTCCAATTGGATGATTGGAGGATTATTTAGGAGGATTGGGATGAACAAACTGGTTTCAGTGGTGAAGGCTCGGCATTAAAATTGTAGAAATGCAAAATAACTACACTTTATTATCTATATAAACATGTACTGGGTCCAGTTTTTTATTTTATTAAGGACTTTTGTCATAAATCATTACAGAAAATCCAAATCCTCTCCTCCAGACAGTGAAGAACTGTGTTTCGCATACGTCACTCCATCACGTAAAACAAGCTAGCTGCTGATGCTAATATTGTGAATCACTGTTATATGTTTACTTTCATGCTCCTAATTATTACGTAAAATTGCGTTTACAGCTGCAGCAAAAGGTCTGAGCCATGTGTCTATGTCCTACACGCATTTTTAAATAACAGGTCTGATCTAAAATAATAACCTACATCTATAAATCCATCTAGAACCGCACCGCTACTTCTGGACTCCAGACGAGTCCCGTTAGCATGACTGCAGCAAAACTAACCGTGTTCGCTCCGGTAAGGAAAGAACAAGTCCTTTGGGAAAGCTACGACACACACACACACACGCACGCACGCACGCACTCACACACACACACACACACACAGATATAATCTAAAAGATGATCTCTATATTTCAACATTAAAACCTCCATGACATCCTGCATTAGTGCAAACAACGAGTTGAGCTTCGGAGTTACTCCAGCATCAGGAAGATTTATTCTGGTAAATTGTAGGTTCATTATTTTCCAGAGTTATGTCAATAAATACACACAGCAGTAAAACTGTAGATTACTGAACTATATTGGGACACATGATGGAGCTAAAATCAGCTGAAAACTTGTCAGCTTAGAGCTCCCAATGGAGCACAGAAATGAAATATTTAAGAAAAGTAAACAAACTGTACCGATTTTGGTTCTGAAGATGAACAGAATCCTCCTCTGTGTCCAAATCAGGTCGCAGTTCTTCTGAGTCAAACGGTCTAAAACATGTCTGCACCTCTGGTAGTGATATCCAGCTGGCGGGGTCGAAGTTCGGTTGAACTTCTCCAGTAATCTAATAACCGTTCTCGTCGCCGTATCCCAGAGAAAAAACAAATCTGATGGACTAGTAGAGGCTTCAGAAGCTATATCTGATTGATGACACATTGTTCTCTGCTATAACGCTAACGCAGAAACACCGGAGCCAGGCATTGTTTACTACAGCTGTTTCAGCAGAGCTCCATGTGAAACGTCAACTGCTGCCCAGGGCTTAGACTGGAAGTTAGTTTCTGTTTTTCCTGGGCCGGTCACAAACATCAGATTTTCTTACAATTCCAGCCGTCAAAATCCAAAAACCTTTTTCATCTGAGATTTTAATACACATTTACACATGCTGTTCAAACAAATTTTGCCTCTGGCCGATATCTTTAAATGAGTGAGTGAACCCACTACCAAAGATGAACTCTGCTAACTTTAAAAATCAGCTGCTCTAAATAAGCATTCAGGGAAAAGTCATGGGCTTGTGACTATAACCTAATTTATGTTACTAGTTTGCAGTGAAACTGCCTTTGTACTTCAATATGCATATTTGTTCATTTAATTAAAAAAACGGCCACTTTGACATTTATACCCCATTGTCTTTTTTTTAACTATTCCATAAGAGCCCGTCCTTGCACAGTCAAAAAAGTTACTTTAGCCCTTTTCAGACAGACATTCTGGAACATTTGCGGACAATTCAATCCGGTTTTTAACCGGAACTGTGCTTTCAGACACACCACTTTTGTACTGGAACTTGTCCTTTCGGCTGCGTTCACACAGCAGGGAAAAGTTCCAGATGTCTGACTGCTGCGGGGGGTGGGGTGGGGTGGGAATCGGACTTATGTTAAGAAGAAGAAGAAAATATCATTTCTATAGCGCCTCTCAAGATAAAAATCACGAGGCGCTTAAGCATAATTCTGCGCACATGAAGACGCATAAGAGACCTGGATGATGAAGCTCAAAGGAATCAGTGAAGCGCTTCGTCGCGCGTCTAGGTGGTACCATAGGAGGCGAGCTGCCGTGGTTCGCCGCATGCTACAGCAGCGGGCTATATAGGTGCGCACAGCGTCCCCCGGTCCCCTCCTCCTCCTCCTCCCCCTCCCCCTTGTCCGGAACTTTACCTCACCAGTCTGAAGCAGCCACCCTGTCCGTAACAAGTCCAGACCTGTTACTAGGGGGCTTCGTCCGGATAAATTTCGGAACACGTTATCCGGATGTTTGTATTCAGACACAAAGGTCTTACGGACAGATTCCGGAACATTTCCGTTTTTCATGGCCTGTCTGAAGGGGGCTTAAGTAACTTTTACTCTGACTACATTTGAAATAAGTTACTTTTTACTTTTACTTGAGTACATTTTGAGGCAGGTAATTTTACTTGTAATTGAGTAAAATTTCATGAAAGTAATTATACTTGTACTTAAGTACAACATTTTAGTACTCTTTCCACCTCTGCTTATAACTAAACTATGTTAGAACATTTAGAGGCATGAAAAAACTGTTTTAAGCAAATTTGTTTACCAAATTTGCTATAGCAGCCTTGTAAGGAAAATGTGTCACTGTTTTCATTTATTAGATTTGGACAGCTTGACAGTTTAAGTCCTTTTTTGTTGTATGTTTTGATTCTGAGCTCATCCAGGAATTTCCCGTTGAAATTGTGACTCTGTAATTACAGCCACTCAGTGTTGTGCAGGCAGTGACTTCTGTTTGTTGACTCTTCACCTAAGAATTAAAATAGAAGTTTCACACCCAGATCTTACCCAAGGAGTTTAATGGCAGGACACCAAATTGGGAATTTTGAGTCACTCTTTGTCACATTTGTGAACCTGTTTTTTTTTTTTTAGCTTACTGTATCATCTTCCCTTCTGATTGACACCCATTACTATTTTTAACCTGAGTATAAAAATACTCATGAATACCATTATGTACAGCAAGCAGAGAGTAATGAAAGTCACAGGCTTATAGAGTTGTCATGAAGCAGTGCCATTTTACATCTGCAGACAAAATTCTTCAGATTTGAGTTTTGTAATGCAGATGCATCTTATGTTGTTGTAATGGGTTTGTTAGATTTAAAGAAACTTGTTCAACTGTAACGATGCATAATAGAAAAGCAACAATATGATAACTTCTAAATAGTAAACAGATTTCATCGCGTAACCAGAACGGTTCAGACTACTGCTACATTGAAACTGTTTCAAATAAAAGCTGTGTTACTGTACTTGTTATGTGTCAATTTTTGTTGCCTTTGCATGTTTGTGCAGATGATGAGGTTGACTTGCAACAGAGCACAACAGGGGCTGAAGAAGGAAACTCTGATGGAAAAAGCAAGAGTAAAAGCAAGATGTCCAAAATGAAAGGGTTATTCAAGTTTAAATGGAAAAAGAAGAAACCAAGTAAGACGTTTACTGAAACATCCATAGGTATGCTTGCTACTTTTAACATCTTTGTTTTGCATTAACATTCAATCAAATCAAAATTATTTTATCTATCCTGCTTGATGTTAAAAAAAAATGTTATGAATTTTTTGTTCCTCAGCCTTGGAAAGAAAAATTTCTGTAAGAAAATCTCGCCAAGAGCTGATTGATAGAGGAGTTTTAAAGGATTTCCCAGAGTACGGTAAGTAGAATATCATGTTCTTTATTATTATTCAAAACATTCAAAACAATCTCAAAGTAGCTTTCATTAATGCTTATCTTATTGTCTCTTCACAATAATAGAGAGCAATGACGTGAATCGGCCCAAAGCTCCCCCAGTGAACAATGGGCACCATGCACCATTAAATGCAGATAGAGTGCCAGAAATGCCAGTATTCCAAGGGGAGTGTGACCTGAAAGGGAATTCTTTAAAGTTTTCTGGAGATGAACGGAGAAATAGAACACAATCGGATTCTTGTAGAACTAATAGGGAACCTCTGGATGTGGACTCTCATGCAAGATTCTCAATGGATATAGATCCCCGAAATCGAATTCCTTCGGATTTTGATAAGAAAAAAGCATCTTTACAACGAGGACTTCAACTAAATGATAGGTATCGCAGAGAGGAGAGAAGAGATTCCAAAGATGATAAAGAGAGGAAAGACGAAAAGACAGAAAGAGACATTCGCGAGCGAAAGGATCGAGAAGAGAGAGAGTCTAGGAATCTGGATGAAAAAGAGCGGAGGGATCGGGACGAGAGGGAGAGAAAGGTTCGAGATGAAAGAGAACCAAGAGATTTGAATGAGAGAGAGAGGAGGGATCGAGAAGAAAGGGAGAGGAGAGAACGGGATAACAGAGAACGGAGGGATCGAGACGAAAAAGACAGAAGGAGTGGCGATAACAGAGAATGGAGGGATCGAAATGAGAGAGAGAAAAGGGATCGAGATGAGAAAGAGAGGCGAGACAGGGATGAGAAAGAGAGGCGAGACAGGGATGAGAAAGAGAGGCGAGACAGGGATGAGAAGGAGAGGCGGGACCGCGACGAGAAGGAGAAGCGGGACCGCGACGAGAAGGAGAAGCGGAACCGCGACGAGAAGGAGAGGCGGGACCGCGACGAGAAAGGGAGGCGGGACCGAGACGAGAAGGAGAGGCGGGACCGAGACGAGAAGGAGAGGCGGGACCGCGACGAGAAGGAGAGGCGGGACCGCGACGAGAAGGAGAGGCGGGACCGAGACGAGAAGGAGAGGCGGGACCGCGACGAGAAGGAGAGGCGGGACCGCGACGAGAAGGAGAGGCGGGACCGCGACGAGAGGGAGAGGCGGGACCGCGACGAGAGGGAGAGGCGGGACCGCGACAAGAGGGAGAAGGTCAGAAGAGAGTGGGATGATAAGGATAGGAGAGAAGATCAAGATGTGCGAGTTGAGCTTGAATGGAGAGAAATTCGGGATAACAGAAAAGACAAAGGAGAGAGAGAAGATCGGGACAGGAAAGAAGCTTCAACAGAGAAGGACATTAGGGCTAACAGAAATGAAAAAGAGCCAAAAGATCAACTTGAAAGGAGAGAGAAACCGATGCCTCAGCAGCTTCAGGAAGACTCACGGATTGTGGCCAATCCAGAGACAGACAAAAACAAGAGAGTTCGCCTGGACAGGGAGGTAGACCCAAGGAATTCACTGCCAAGATACAGCTTACATGTGGAGGTAAAAGAACGTCAAGGTAAGAGGGTGGTCATTTGATAAATATTTTACTGTAATGTCACTTTAGCAATAAGATCAAATTGATTTTGTGAATTCTCCAAATAACTTTCCCTTTCCTGCTACTGTAAGGTTACTCAGGTCGTATAGCAGCACCCAACAGTCCTAAAAAGTTTTGCATTGGCTTAGGATCGGTTATAGTTGTGTGAACTAGTGTGTAAGTTCCTGGCTCAGTCAGAACAAAGCTACAGACGATCGATTTGTTCTTTCATGTACAAAGTAAAGCAGAGCCTAAAGGGTAGCGCGTGAAACCATACCTATACACCTGTTGACAGCGTGGTCCTTGATGTTAATTAAAAATGTAAGACAGAAACAAAATGAGCGTAGAATGTGTCATCTAAAATGGTACATGCTTAGTTCTCTGCCTTTCTGACAGAACAGACCCCATACTCATTAGTACAATCTGTATTTGGAGCTACAAACACGCCACATTCATGTTGCTGTGATTAGCCAGAGAAACCTTGCAAAGTTTTAAGAGGGATCTGTTTTGGATATCAATGGCACTTCTGTTATCTTCATCCCCATCCCTTGCCTCCATGTTGCTCTGCGTGTTGACCTCTTGTGTTTCCTATGTGTGTGTGTGTTTGTCCTCACCTCTGTAGAGTCTGCTGGTGTCCGTCACTCCCTTGATCCCCGTTTGATGCAAGACTCTCAACAGGACCCTCCCCTACCCAAACATGCTTTGCTTCCCCCTAAATTCTCTGCTGGTCTTCCCATTGAGTTTCCTACAAGTCCAACCCCCACTGCCTCATCATCCTCCACCTCCTCCTCTTCTTCCTCCGACTCTGTTTCGTCCTCTGCTGAAACAGCTGTTGCCAGGCCACCAAGGACAATTTCCCTAATGGTGGACACTCTGCCTCGAACCCCGCTTGCTGCTGCTACACCTGCTGAGCCTGACACACCACCCCCCATTCCTCCCCATGCCAAGCAACCTCCTCTCCCTCCACCTAAACCTACCAACCGCAACAGCAACCCTGTACCATTGGGTGAGTTTTATCATGGCATAAAACTGTCCTCTCTCTTAAACCAGCAGCTTTGGTCTTTGGTATATCTTCCCTTTTGTCAGCTTAGTCATAAATTTCCAAAAAATGGAACAAAGTAAGTTCCGATTTTACGTTCCGAGAGCTACAGCATCCTAGCCTGGCAAGCCACCCTACCATGGCCCATAGAAAAAGACCAGTCAGGGGCCAAATCTACGATTGTCTTTCAAACAGTCTCCGCATGCTATTGGACAACCAAAAAAACATGACGTACTCACCGCTACATATGTGGGTCAATGGGGCAGTCCGCCATACATTGTCAAAGAAGACCGAAATAAAGCTTTTTTTCTAAATAAATGACTTGAGCATCTCTGCTCTTGACTACAAAAAAGTCAAAGTCTAAAAAGTCCAAAGTTGATGCCTAAACCATTTCAAACTAGCCATTGCCATCATTGTTTCTGTGCATTTTTCGGCACTTCTTTGTGTCACACTGTGAGGACTCTCAAGAGGTGGCCCACTGTACGGTCCAAGATTTCATTAAACCAAACTGCACAGCATCTCACTCTAGCAGGAAATGCTGATAATAATCCTAGAATAATCGCAGAAAAGCACAAGTCAGTAAAAGCAGACAACAGCGGTGAATAGAGAAACAGCGCCCACATGTTCTTGTGTGTATCATTCACTGTTGTTAATGTGTCGAATGCTACCCTGGCATTGTGCTCTCGTCACTAGTGTTTTACGTCATTCTCTGGGTGTATTGTTATTGGTCGATTACAGACCAGAGTTGTAGATTGTCCAGCAGTGCTAGAAGACTGTTAGAGGCTGAATTTGGCTGAGAGTGCTCAAAAAGTTTGAGCTTGACCGGTCACACTGGACAGCTATGTATCACCTTCACCGTTTTAGTCACAAATCTGTTTATGACGAAAGATTTGTCAAAGACGGACGAAAAACAATGTGGTCTGGGTTTTCCACACGTTTCTAATTGTCATTACAGTTTAGCAGCTCTTCAGGTTTTGTAAGAATTTGGTGATTGGCTTGAATCAATTATTTGTTTATTGATAAATCATGGGTTTTATGGTGAATCATCAGCAGAGAAGATTTTAATGATAGATCTCATTTTTACAGAGCTGAGCCAGTGATGGACTTCTTTACATTTTGAGTCACAGGAGGTTTTGAGATTAGGTTTTTTCCTGCTAAACTATTGGGATTTGAATGCAAAACATAGCAAATGTGTAGAATAAATGCTAATTTAAGCTCAGAAATGATGTAAGCAATAATGAAGCGAGAGCCAACAGTCATGCTTGTTTTGATTCTCAGCGAACACTGTGGCTCACAAGCGTTTACAAATCACTTCAGCACAGAGCCAATTAGTCATCAGCACTTAGGTCTCATTAAAACCGTTTCAACAGAAATCTCCTTGGAGCTACTGAAAGACCAAAAAGGTTTTATTGACACTAATTGTTGAACATTCGAAGTGGAGCAACGGGGTGCACACAGCTTTTATGCATTATGAGTTTATTTAAACTGCGTCAACTCTCAGTTCAGGTTCAGATTCATCATCAGTGCTGGGTCAAAATGTTTTTATCCCCTTTTTCAGATGTTTGACAGTTTATTTTATTGTAGGTTTTGGGGCATTGCACAAAAATAAAAGAATAAGAGCAAGGGTGTTCGACTACATGGCCTTAGGAAAAGAAAAAGAGAACGTGATGGAGCAAAGACCAGAGTTAAAATTGCGCCGGCTTTTCCTCGCTGGAGAGCTGTTCTGGAAAGAACGGCAAGTACTACGGCTTCTGATCTAGCCATGCTGCTAATGGATAGGTAATATTCTCACCAGGGTTATTGTGTTTGGTCAGGCATTAAGTTGTTATACAGTCCTGAAAAACTTTATTCAATGCAGAAACACCGCTTAATGCGTTTGTTTGGGCACATGAGTTGGAAAAAGCCAATAAACATACCTCTTATGTTACACAGCAAGCCTGGAGAGGGCGACAGAGTATATGCCCGCTAAGTTCAGGAATGTACCTGAGTTAGGTTAGAGTCTGGGTTTAATGAGTGAGGATCACATTGCCTTGACTTGTTGTAATTGGAGCGTTAAGGTCCCACTATGTCCTTCAGATTCCAGTTAGCAAAAGCGGAACAGTTTCTTGGACATGATCATGTAAGACTCTGGTAAAATGGGATGCATTTATTCCTGATGGAGGGAAGTTTCCAGACCTACATGACTTATAGATGGTTTGTTTTGCTGCATCGTAACACCTGCTAGTGTAGCTGGTGAAGGTTTTATATACGCTGTGGATGTGCAGCTGTTAGCTACCATTGTTCCAGCATGTCCCAACTCTTTAGTGCAGAATTTTTATTTTCTGCTATCATTCTAATTGCTCCTACTTGCTAAGCTAACTGTGACTGATGAAGAGACGTGCTACTGCGTGCCCTGGCGTCTTTTCTGCAGCACCGCCAGAACTTTTCCGGAGGGCACAGCGGAACTGGCTTTGCGTTTTCATATCCTTTGTCTCAGCTTGCCTTAGCTGTTCGTGTTTACGGCTCATCTCCTGAACGCCGGCTGGCGTTACATTCCTCCGTTGTTTGTGATGTTGCAGCCTCCGTGCACAAGTTGTGATTTCACGCTGTTAGAAAAAAACTTAGCTGTTTTCTGTGAGTTCAGCAGGCTATGTCTGTGTTTGTGTCATTGTGTCACTCCCCAAAACGGTGTTTTTAGTTTTGTTGTTGCACAATAGCATAGTCATTTAAAACACAGTGCACCAATACATCAATCAGACTATTATTATGGACTATGTTATGTATAAAGAGTGTTAAACCCGAGCGGTTTGAGCAGATTACAGCTACGTTCACACTGCAGGTCTTAATGCCTAATTCTGAATTATTTTCTACTGAATCCAAATTTTTTGTTGTGCGAATGTCCACGGCCCTAAAGTAGCCCCCAGATGCAGAAAAGCACAGGTAACGATGGCAGCCACAGATGTTGGTGCTTGTACAGCAGTGTGGTCATTGCTGCAGTCGGAACCAACAACATTAACGCTTCATTACGTTTCCCTTGACGTTCCTCTGACACATAACCACTTTGGTCTGTGCCGTTGGTCAGCCATTTCTTTAATACGCTCGAACACTACCTGGTTACGCTACGACCTCTAGTTGTGCTTGAACAGAATTCTCCCCCCATATGCTGATCGAGTCCAACACCCAACGTTCTGTTCATTGACTGGCTCCGTCTCCAGTATCCACAATGCATGTTGGAGCGTTTACCTCCTCTGGTGCAAACAAAACTCATTCAAAAACATCAAATATGTTTGTTGGACTTAGGACCAATTATGAAAAGGACCTGGGTCCGACTTTGGGTGCAAATGGACCAAAAAAGTCCAGTTTGATGTGCTCTTGCCCGCGTGAGCATCGCCTTAGTTGGTGTAAATGGCAGAGAGTTGTCCAGAAGCCGTCACTGTGCTGTTCAGCTGTACTGTATTTCCTCTGTTTGTGGTTGATGGTGACTGCTCCTGGACAGCGTAAAACTAGACAAGCCTTATCTAGCAGCCCCTCCCCTCCTCCTCCCTTGTGTATTTATCTCCCAGTTGGAATGTAAACCCAGCCCCATCCCTGACATCTCCACTCATTTTTGCCAGCTTCCTCCCTGAACAGGGGCTCTCATGTCAGGCAGCCTTGTTATTGGACCAGCTGGCAACAGCAGAGCGAGCTCGCTCTCCACCTTTCTCTGCCCGTTTACCTGTGCCACAGGGCTCGCCAGACCTGTACAGGTACCCGGCGCTGGCCACAGCTCGGTCCAGCCTAGTAAAGCCTGCAGGCTGCTGTTGATCCACCACCTTCACATCACATGGAGCGCCTCTGCTCTGTTCTTAACATCAGTCATGCACTGCATGTGTTTAGCTGCCCTCTGAGATGTTCTGGCTCCACTAATGAGTTGTAGATGCAGCCACAGCATGGACATGCCAGAGTAAAGGGAATGCTCTTTGGTAATGGCTGTAAACAAGTCGCCTTCTCCTGACTCAACTAGCAGTATGTCAGTAACCACCCATCGACTTCTCACTCATCATAACTGACTCATTACCTTTTTGCTTGTTTTTATTAATAAACTAACCTGATGCATTTACATGTCATTGTATTGTTACTCATGTTTATTTTTTATTTATTTTTTTGACAACAGAGCATTTACCACCAGTCAGCAGTGTGATTGTTGTCCCTGCACCCACCAAGCGCTCTCCTCCCACCCCGCCCAAAAGGATGACTCCTGTCACCAAGCGCCAGTCCTCTGATCTTACTCCTCCTAGTCAGGCCCCTGAGTCTTCCACCGTTGGCCCTCCGTGTGCCGCAGTGCTGCCCCCTGCTGTCCTCAAATCAGAAAATGGCGAGGAAAAGAAAAATCCAGCAGCTCCCCAGATGTCGGTCGAGCCTGCGCTCTCGCCACCCTCCCACATACCTCCGTCTCCTCCTGGGGTCAAGTCGCTTGAGCCCAGCAGTGCCCCCTCCACTGGTCCTGTGCCCACTGTGAAATTCGATACACCAACCGCCGAGCCCCCCAACCAGCTTTCGGTCGTCCCTCTTCACATTCGCATCCAGAGAGCCCTGACGAGCTCTGGGCCAGCTCAGCCTAACCCAGGAAGTGCCCAGAGGGCCCACTCACTGCTGTTTGAGTCTCCTCCGGATGTGATCACAGAAGCAGGGGGGAACGTGCGTTACTCTCTCCCCGTCACCATCGAACCCATCAGGCTGTAAGTGACCCAAAAATTCCTCCATCATAATAATAATATTGGGATTTTCAACTGCTACCTTTTCATAGTTGGGGTGGAACCTAATTGTTCCTGACCGCTGCGCTGTCCTTGCAGGCCAGAGGACGACGACTTTGACATGGAGGAGGAGCTGCGGAAGCTTCAGCCTCCTCGAGCCCCTCGGCAGCTGGAACTGGAGCCCCGAAGCAGGAGGGCTCTGATAGGAGACCCCAGAGTGACGGTCATCCCAGAGAGAGCGGACCAAGAGGAGAGCGAGGAGCGCGAAGAAGAGTCCGACTCTGATGGGCCCATTCTGTACAGAGAAGATGATGCAGACGACGATGAGGAAGTCCCTATTGGTACCGAGTGTTGCATCAGACAGGAAGAATTATAGCTGTGTCCGATTATACTGTCTGTCCATATAAACACACGTCTTGTGTCCAAAAGGTGGACTGGCGAGTCGCGTGAAGAGGAAGGACACACTGGCTCTGAAGCTGGAGAAAAAAGAGAAGCAGGAGCGAGCCGAGATGGAAGCTCAGGGGAACGATGATGGGATGAGTTGGAACAGCAGGGAGCAGTGGCTGGCAGTGAGGAATAAGATTGGCACTACGCTGGGCAGGTAAGCCACCTCCCATCAGCTCACGCTAAGCCCTTCTGTCCGGACTGACGGCTAAACCATACGTATGTCATCAGGCGGCTGAGCCAGAGGCCGACCGTAGAAGAGCTGGAGCAAAGAAACATCCTTCAAGGTGAGGCGCTGGTGGAGTCCTCAACACTGTCCTTTGTGTGGTCCGGAAGAACCGTTTTAAACCTGGTCTGCTGTCAGCTGATGACATCACTACAGCAGCTTGTGGCCAAAAGTTTTATTCTGTACTTGTTTTCTATTTATTCTGCTCATGCAGTTAGTTACTAAAGCCTGCAGCGCAGACGTGCCCGTTTCAGATCTTCTGTTGGACCTGTGCAGTCCAGATTAAATACGGAAGTCACGTTTACATGAAAACACCAGATATCTTCTAGCTTTTGCGTTTTACTCTGTCGTTTATGGTTTTACTTGGAAAGGGTAGTCTAACAATGCGTCAAAGTTCTTCCAACCGTCTGAATTACCACGACTGTATTACTGCTGAAACAGAACCGGTTAGAACTTCTTCTGTACGTTCATTCACGTGTTTCATCTCACTGCATCACCTGGTTCTTTTTAACACGGCAGAGGAGTGTTTACCTTGTTTCTGCTGACCTTTCAACTAACACCGTAGTGTTTGGAGGACTAGTATTAGTGGAAACGTCATCAAAACCAGGTAAAACCTCTTGCTGTTTTATAGAAGCAAGTGATGCAGAAGCAGTTTGGTTCTGATGCGTTTCGACTCGACGTCTGAGGTGAATCTCCAGGCTGTAATAAAAGCTTCTATAAGAGTCGTGAGGATTCAAATCCTTAATGAAGCAGACCCTGGCATGAATCAGGAATCCCGTTTTCATCAGATGAGTCATGTACAACAGTTGTAGGAGGGTCCGTCAGCAGATTAGGAGATCAGAATGTGTCTTAGCAGAGCAGACAGGAAGCTTCACATCTGGAAGGACAAAGTTGTTGAGATAAACTAAAGTGAAAGCAAGGAGTGCTGAGGCACCAGACCGGTTTTAACTGGCATATAAACCTGATTTAGTAGATGTCAGGACTGTGAGTTGTGAGACTGAATGAACGGCGTATGAAGATGGTGAAGATCAGAATCTGTCAGTAGGTTCTGATCCAGGATTCCTGCTGCTGTCCTGAGCTAACTCAGTTATGCTGACAACAACAGCGGGCCTTGTGAGGCGCCTGGCAGTGAATGAAAGGTCCTGTTAGGGCAGCACACCAGCGACGGCTCAGGTGAAGTCCACCTGACTGGCCGCTCTGTTCATCCCCCTCTAATGGAATGTTTTCTCCTTCCACAGCCAAGAATGAAGCAGATCGACGGCTGGAGAGATCCGAGATCAAACGCAGGCTCACCAGAAAAGTTGGGATTCAGCCTGAACTTTGTAACGGTCCATTCTGATGATGAGAATGTTGACGACGTTTCTCGTTGTGCCTGCAGCTGTCTCAGAGACCTACGGTGACCGAGCTGCGAGACAGGAAGATCCTGCGTTTCCACGAGTACGTTGAGTGCACCCACGCCGAGGACTACGACCGGCGAGCAGATAAGCCGTGGACCAAACTCACTCCTGCGGACAAGGTGATGCTGCCACCACCCCGGCCTCCTCCCCCACTCACATCGTTACAACAGAGAAGCTTTGCTCGCTGTTTTCACTCTAGATACAAGTTTTGCTTTGAACCGTGTAGGATGGCATGAACTTGGCCTCCGGGAACGTAAACCTGGGTGTCATTCTGATCCAGGGTCTGTTCTTCACCTCACATACATGAAGCATGTTACTGGGACCGTCTTTGTCCATCTCCATCAGGCTCCTCCTTCCATCTAAGATATTTCTGCTTCCATATGAAATTCTGTCTAAAACAGAACATCTGCCGAAGTCAAAATACAAAATGCATAGAATTACTCATGCATTGTATGGCATACAGGCTTGCCATACCATACACCTCATGGCTCTGCTGCCACAGATGATGATTTAAAACAGAGCTGCATTATTTTTGTCACAGGGCACCATCTGGTGGGGAAAGCCTGTGATTACAGCTCTAGCTGAGACTAACGTGTTCATCAGGCCGTCTCCTTCATGTAAACAGAAAAGTTACGTTATGCCTCTTCCTTCCAGGCCGCCATCCGTAAGGAGCTGAATGAATTCAAGAATTCAGAGATGGAGGTTCATGAAGAGAGCAAGATGTATACTCGGTCAGGCTCTACCGTCTGCTCCCATTTCTTCTGTGTCTGATGACAACTTTATTTGAATGTTTGTACTGATCTTTTCTGTCCTCCAGATTCCACCGGCCCTAGCTGCCTGTGCAGATGAGTGAAGCACGTATTCTGTGGGGGATACAGCAGCTGTGGTTCCTTTCTCCACCCTGCAGCGAACCGGCTTCAGCTGAAGACAGAACGGATCTGTGGAGCCGAGGCAGGAGGGAGTAGCACAAGGTCCAGCACAGCCGAGCTCTGGAAAGTTCAGCTGTGGAACGGACAGGAGTTCATGTTTAGGCTTCCTGGTGCCATTGGTGAAGGGGAGAGCCCCTCGCTCCCTCCTCCAGCCACCACGTCCTTCACCCTTCCATTCGTCTGCTGGTGTTTCTGACCCTTTACTCGTGGTCCTCTCAGCACGGACACAACGTGAACACGTGTGTCTCTCTCTCGTCTCACGCCTGATTTCAGACTAAATATGAAAAACTGTCAGAGCTCCGCTTGAATCAGCAGCTCCACTCGTTCGTTTTACTGTATTTGGCTGATAAATCTTATTCTCACACAAATCTCTAGATCAGGTTTTAAAAAGGCACCTTATGTTCATTATTTGGGTGTATAGACACATAAAGACTCATTCTATAGAGTTGAATAATTAAAAGCAGGAGAATGTATATATTTTTATTTTCCTGTCAAATGTTTTATGGTACTTAATATATGTGAGGCTGTAGCTGGAGGCAGTTGTGAACAAAAATGTAGATTTGATTGAATTTTTTCTTGTAAACTACTGACTTATAAATGCTGACATTTTTTAACTAAAGTATTTCTCAAATGTTGTTTCTCAATATTCGTGGTACAGATTTGTTTTTGATACAGAGACATTTAAATCTGTTTTTGCAAATATTGTGAATAACTCTGAAATCCACTTAGAAATAAAACACGTGATTTGTATTTTTCAAATCAATCCTGCGTGGTTCCTTTTATTTTGGAAGTGACTGCATTAGGTGTAGATTGGCCAGAAGGGGGCAGTGTTGCATTAAAGGATGTCCAAACCGGGCGCCATCTTCTTTTCTAGATGCAAAGAGACTCAGAACTTTAAACTTAAAAGATAAGCAGCAAACAAGATGATGTTTTTAAAGCACACTCAATACAGTCTGGTTGTTTTTTTCACTTTTCAAAGAAATCAGTCTTACAAGTAATGCAGTGTAATAAATACAGTTCTACTTAGTTCCAGTACACTGGATGCAACTGATGAGCTGCACAAGGAGTTTATAATTATCACTCAAATTTTACTCTAGTCCATAGTTGGCCTTTTACACACACAAGCTAAGATTACAGTTTATTACACAAAAATTAAACTAAAGGTTCATCTCAGGTGTGTTCTTGCTGCATCGTGGTTCTAATTCCATGCTTTCATTCTTTTTAAAACAGAAACAATTTTGTTTACCTGTTTTGTCACTACGTTTCGCCGGCAGCTGCAGGCTGACGCTGATGGTGGCGCGTCACTTCCTTCTAAGCAAAGAACCAGAAAGACAAGAACCAGAACCAGTGATAACCCTACCATACATCAGAGGCATAACAGAAAAAATAAGGGCAACAATGAACAAACACAACATAAACACACCAACAAAACCATACACAACAGTTAGAAACAGACTATTACACCCAAAAGACAAGATACCAGCTGGACTTAAATGTGGAGTCGTCTACAAAATCCCATGCAAACTCTGCAATAAAACATACGTAGGAGAAACCGGACGCCAACTCAACACACGAACAATAGAACACAGAAAGGAGTGCGAGAAAGAGGCAAGTCGAAAACACACAAGAGCAGCAAAAGAAGAAGCAGAAAGTACAATAAAGAAGTCAGCCGTAACAGATCACTGCACAAGAGAAAACCATATAATGGACTGGGACAACACACGGATCATAAACACCGAACAACAAAAATACAAAAGATGGATTAAAGAAGCAATCGAGATAAGGAGACGTGGATGTGGGACCATGAACAGGGACGACGGAGTTTACTCGTTGGACCACACATGGGACTGCATCGTCGGAGAGGGGAGAGCGGGCAGTAGAGGGCAACAACGTCCTCTGCTGCCCGCGGATAAACGGAGAGGGAAGTGACGCCACCATCAGCGTCAGCCTGAGGAAGTCTGCAGCCGCCGGCGAAACGTTGCGACAATAACAGGTAACGAAACCGTTTCTGTGTTTTAAAAAGAACAACAGCATGGTAAAAAGGTTCCTGAAGAAAATGATTGTAAGGTGCAGAAGAAAGGTGACATCACTCAGAAGCAGCAGCATTATGAGGGAGACGGGCAGATTTATGGGACTCTGCCCTCATGTGACCTAGAGAGGGAGAGGGAACTAAATTCACATGAAGACTCCTAAAGTGACATTTATTAGAATACATTCATGAATTATGGCTCAAACAGGTCTTTCTTCCAGCGTTTGTCCAGTAAAATTCTCATTTATATACAACCTTCCATTCTTCTCCAGTATGAAAGGAGGCAACTTACTGGGAACTCTCAAAATGGAAACATAAACATTGATTTTTAAAAATGGTACAAGCTTTCAGAAAGCCTCGGACGACTTACCTCCTAGGGCTGCCACCTTCCCGTGGTGGAGGGGTCCTAGGCAAAATGTTAATGAACCTTAAATGCGTACAAGAGCGTGAAACAAGAGTTGGTGAGCCTGTCGAATTAAATTCAAATGCAGAGAGAACACTTCACCTTCAGACTGTACTCAGTCACAAGAGCAGTTTTTCTAAACACCAGCAACTAAAGAGTCTCATAGAACACATTTGTACTGTTTTTATTCATCTGTGCTTCTTCTCAGGTTTGCTGCCATTGGCCAAAAGACATGATTGCATGAAGAGTGATTTTTTTCCTGTGATAGACATTTAACCTTGAGCTGTCAGAGAGGGCCCCCACCCCGGAGACAGATGCCATCTCTGCATGACCCTGAGCAGGCATAGAGAATGGATGGATGGGAAACCTCTGAACTGGAACTAGCTGGATATAACAATGTAATAAGCTTTTAGTTTATTGAGTGAAATAAAGAATAATCATCCACCTCAGACATCCATCAACTACAGGAAAGGAGTTGCATGCTACCACACTGAGAGGGACTGTTGAAAACAAGCAAATTATTACTTTGGTAGAAAGTCATTAGGACTTTGAAGTCTGTGTCCAGTGTGTGTGTGTGTGTGTGTGTGTGTGTGTGTGTGTGTGTGTGTGTGTGTGTGTGTGTGTGCGTGCGTGCGTGCGTGCGTGTGTGTGTGTGTGTGTGTGTGTGTGTGAGCTCTGGTTTATTTGAGACCTGATCAGAAACCTCTCCTGGCCTTTAATAGAAGCATCACATCTGAGCCCACAGCTGCTTATTTACCAAAAAAGCATCATTGTTGTGCATCTAATTAAAACACCAAAAACAGAAATCTGACAGCATTCACTGCTTTACTTTTAGCCTCCCCAGCACGATGTGCAGAAAATATCTTCAGACTTTGACGTTGAGATTATAAATCCAATGAAGATGGCTCGTTTTTGGGACTAAATGGATTATGGCATGCTAAAGAAAGTAATTAGTCTTGTCTCAGATTTCAAATTTCAGGTTCTAGTTACTAAATTATCCAGCTAGATCACGTTGGGTTTCTGCTGCGGTCAAAGTACAGATGAACTGTGAGGCCGGAGATTTGAAGGGAAGTTTGTGAAAGGAGCCGAGAGGAGAGGAGAGGAAGAACTGATGCAGAAACCTGGAGGAAAACAGCTTGAAGTCCTGAAGCAGGACTGTAATTACATTTTGTGAAAATGACAAAGCCTGCTGCTTCTCTCGGTCTCCTCGGTGGTGTGCACAGTTTTGGCCATCAGTAGAAAGTGGACTGACGGAAACAGAGCTGTTGTCATGGTTTTGAACATGTCTCTCTTGTCTAACAGCATCCGTACCGGGGATGCATTTGGTTTCCTGTCTAAGTAAATTGCTGAGAAATCTCTTTAGTTTTAGGCTGCATCAACCACATTCATATCATTTTGCACAGATTTACTTCACCATTAACTGGTTTATTTGCATGATTTAAGTTAAACAGCCATATTTTTATGCATAACCTTACTAAAAAGGTTTGGACTTAGAAAATTAGGTTGTTTATAGTCTCCCACTGGGAAGAGGGGCGGTGTCCATCAACCTGGTTTTGCATCTGCAGAAATAAATGTCCTCTGAACAAGTTTTTTGTCTGTGCACATTAGATGTTGCTTAGGCAGCAACATCATCTACCTCCCTCCCTAAACACCGGCTGATTGCTGCTGAAAACAGCGATGTCGTCTGCAAGCTTCTTCATGTGTTTGTTCCATCATGAATAAGCTCGGGAGCCAAAGTGTGTGTTCAGCTTTGTTTGTGCCGTGAGGCCAGTTAGATGTCTGCTTGAGCATTTGAGAAATCTAGTCCTTAAGTTGAATGTTTGTTTTTTATGACAATCCAAACTAATATTCTCAAAACATTTCCTCAAACTGACCTTGATTAGCAGCTTTTTCCTTTTGAATCAAACGTCTCTGTAATTACTTCAGCCTACACCTAAAAGCACTTTGTAGATGATGCATGTTTAACTCAAAATGACTGTAAGAACTGATAAAACCATCTAAAGCATGATCTTAATAATTAAAATTTCATGAACTAAACTCTAGAGTAAACCTGTCAGTGAAGAAGCTTCCCTTTTCTGTACTTCCAGACCTCAAAGACCACTCTTTCCATCACTTCAGCCCCCCTGTTGGCTCCTGGACCAGGATTTACCAGAGCTTTTTTACAGAAAGGGATTTGGTGACAAATAAGAGTCTTAGAAATAAAAATGTGCAGCGAAAAAAGCAAAGCAGGAGATGTCAGAAAGAGGGGGTCTAGCGCAGGAAGATATGTAGGCTGAAAACTGAAAACTAGCATTTTTACATTGATATTCTCTCTCAGTGAGAGCTGGTGCTATTCAGAGCAAGACAGGTCTCCCATGACAACCTGATAGTTGTGCTGTCAGGCAGGAAGGCTGTGTGATGTAAACTGGATGACTAACAGTAGATTAAAAGCTATTTCTTTTCATCTGTTAAAAAACATGTTTATGTGTTTGCTGCTTTTCTGCATTGCTCATTCTGCCATCACCAACCCAGATCTAAGAGAGTGCCACTGTGTTCCTGCAAGCTAAACTAATCCACAAGCGTATAGCAGATGTGCTGCATCCACCCATACACAGTAAAAAATCCTGTGTCAATTTAACTCTAAGAGAGTTGAATTTAACTCCGTGTCAGATAACATTTGGTCCCACTCGAAAATAGAGTAAAATTTACTCTTTTATCAGTGTTACATTTTCAGTGTTAATTTTACTCAAATTTGTGTTAAAATTAACACTGCAATGTGTTGAAATAATTAACACTGTGGTTTATGAACACTTTTCAGAGTAAAATATTACACTTTGAAGAGTTAATTTAACTCCAAAATTAGATATAAAAAACAGTCTTTAGTGTCAAATTTAATTTCTCTATAGTGTTGATTTTTATTTCTCCAGTGTTGTTTTAAATATCTAGTTCATGTAGATCTATCAAATAAAAATAATCTCAGACAAAAGGTAACTTTGACAGCATTTATTCACAATGCAAAGATACTTTACATTCTCAAATGTATAAACAGTTGTAATAGTTGCATAAAAAGTTGGACATTGAAAGCTACTGTCCATAATCACATTACTATTTGTAATCAAACATTTTTGAATAATGCAATCACCACAGAAAACAATATGGAACAACAAGGAGAAGTGAGTCATTCACTCCATATGACATTTGTATATCAAAAGGCCTGGGATACAGCAGGTGGTCAGCATGAAACAAAACCAAATCTTGTGTTGTCCTGGCCACTTCATATGCATGGACATGTTCCTGAAAGCTAACTGTGCATAAAGGCACAGTTAGCAGAAACAGTTTCTCATGTATTATCAGAACTGACTCAATCTGATAAAATATCGGCATTTCAAAATCAACTTTGCCACAAATAACCAGATGAGGGCGGTAAATAAAGCCATTGTGTTTTGCCCAGTTGACTTTCATAACTTGAATACCATGTGGCACTTGCATTGACATGGCAATAACAGAGCCTCCTTTTATCATTTTCAAAGACACCATTTTCCCTGGACCAATGTCTAAACGATTAAAAGTAGAAGAAGATTGCCAAATGTATGCCATATGTCTCTGGTGTTTTTTGGCTAGAGTTTTGGTGATATTTTTAAATGATTTAAGCTGTTTTTTGAAAAAATTGTGCTTACCTTCATAGCGCATGCACCAAGTATGAAGTACAGGTCCGATTTTCTGAATACAACGTGGATAATGGATGAGGAAATGGTGCTTTGGTAAAAGTTTCTTATGTGGATACAAATTCTTGAACAGTTTGTGGTGATCCACAATCAAATGTTTCAAATATACACAAAGTCCTTGTGACAACTTAGGAGACAATACAATGTTGACTATTTGAAGTAATAAAAGAAGTAGATCCCAATGTCGATCAGTGGAGGTTATCAAATTTCCAAAAATTAGAGGAACATTCCTTAGCAAGCACCACGACTGAATTGCATTCAGTCCCAAATCATTAGACTCCTCACTTAAATTCACTGCAACTGGCCGATTGTTTCTTTCCATGAATCCATAATCAAAATTCAGTATTCTCAAATTCAGCTCTCTCAGTGTGATATAATGTCCTTTAAAATGCTGAAACAAAAGCTTTAGTTCGTACTGGGCCACCCCTTCTAAAATGTCATGCATCACATCAACTGCAAAGTTCTCAGATGTATGAAAATAAGTCAGTGAATTTAGTGCGCATGAACTCTTTACACCAAAAACATAAGGAAGAGAGGGATAACCAGCCATCTCTTGACAGTGGGCAGTGTGGGTGTCTTTGGTGCGCAATATTATTTTTGGAGAATCTTCAGAAAATTCTGTTTGAAAGTCATCTTTTTCAGCTAAACAAAACCTGCAACAGTACCTTGCACTAAAAGACTCCACCAAACCAAACAGGCTATGCAAGGCTAAATTATCACCAGTAACCTGGACCAAACTGCCACGAACACAACCACCATACAGTGGAATAACAATGCCATCACTTTCCAACACTTTAATGTCTCGAACAACAGGAGCAAGGATTTCATTAAAACCATATCGTTTAAGATCTTGTGCATGAAACAAAGCACAGAGGTGTATGTTGGCCAAGACGGAATTCCATTTTGGAGAAAAATTTCTTAAAGTAAAATATATTGCACCCATTTTGTGAATACCTCGCTTGGAACCAAGAGGATTTGCAACCTCAAAATCGTCATAAAACATTTGTATCTGTATTGTATGTTTTTCAGTTGAAAACAGAGGATGAGTTTTGAAAAAAGAACCATCACTAATATCTCTGAGTGTTGAGTCATTAGTGTCTAAGCTTATCAACATTTCTGCAGCATACTGACTATTGAATACTGATTGCAGTGTAGATAAAATTGGAATGTACATGAATTTATCTTTAACTACTATCTGATCATATGTTCCAGTGCTTTTATTTCGCCTTGTGTCAAATCTGGAGCCAATTACGTATTCAAGTGGTTCTACAATTTCCCTTTTTTCTGATAAAAATTTTGATCGCTTGTATTCTGAATTAAGAATTGAAAAAGGATTATCTAAGTCGTCAAAACAAGCTTCAACTTTTTTGCAAACTTCTGTTTCTCTTTCATCATTAAATACATGTCTAATGACAGTTTCTTTTGCATGCTGCTGAACATCTTTAACTATCTCTTCCATGGAACCAACAAGAGTTCACAATGCTTTGGCCTAAACCTGCAGCCTGTAGATCGGAAATTACACTTGCACAACTATTTACAAGGTTAGCTGAAGATAAACCTGACTCGGTCTCTAAACATTTAGATACTTGAAAATCAGTGGAATTACTTGTGTTAGGAACACTTTGACAAGATGAAACATTGGGTTCTTCAACTGAATTAAATGAATTGTCAACATGACACTTGTTTAGATGCTTTCTAAAACCAGAAAAACTACCAAAAGAACGTGAGACTCCCATTTGGCCACATTTAAGATAAAGAGTCCTGCCAGTGCAGAGACCATGGATTACTTTAAGGTGCTTAATAAGGCTGTTTGGTGTACCACGGTCCCTTTTGCAAAGAAAACACTTCATTGTTATGGCTCACCCGATTCTAGCGCAGCATTCTTGCTCGCAACTCTGCAACTCTGGGAGTTTGTTTTGTTTCTGCTACATCGATGTTGTAAACGGTTGTTTGGAGAAAAGTGAAAAAGTTGGTCAGGGCATGACTGTATGACGTACCGAATACATAATGAGCTTTAAAGAGTTCATCAAGAGCTCCCACTGAACCAGTTGCCTTGCATGGAAGTGCATGCTTGTCGATCACAATGAAGAAGGTGTGGATCCTGCTTCTTGTAGTTCCCTGAGCAAGAAGGTAGGGCTGGCAGCTTTGGCTAATATGGTCTAGATGCTGTTGTACACTGGTTCCAGCCTAAGACAGAAAAATAATAGTATTTAGTGTCAAGACTGACAATAGATAAGGTAACTTCAAACTGGGCATTAAAGTGAGGTGATGGGAAGTATATTTTAAAAAAGCGCCCAGCATACCTTTAGGAATCTGATGAGGTGATCTGCGGCTTGAGATGCAGACATCTTTCCTGGCCTCTTTCGTCCTTGTGCAGAAGGTGGTAGCAGATGTAGCAGCAGCAAGATTGCAGACATGTCACTGTCCCAGCCTGTAAAAAAAGACATGCATCTGATTAACAAAATGTTACAAATAAATTAAATTGTCATAATTACCTTTATTACACGCATACCATTTTCATCTTCAGCTGCTGACTCAGTGTTGTGCAGCAAGTGTAAGAGTTCTGGAGTGGGTACCAGTCTATGGCTTTCCACGATAACCTTCTCTTTAATAGAGGTGGGCCACTTCACCAAGAATTTGTTGGCAGTTTCCTCACCAAACAGAAGTCTGAAATCTTGTTCTATCTGCATTGCAAAAATAAAGGACAAAATAAATAAATAAAACCACTATTGGTGACACTTCATAATGTCCAGGATATTTCTGTAACAAAAACAATGTTTTACCAGTCCCGGTGTGTCCAAAAACCGTGGAAAGACTGAGAAGACATCTGTTGTCTTGTCATCGTTGACCAGTGAATTGCGATATGCAAATGTGGCTCTCATCTTCTCACGAATAGTGTCCTCATCAGCAGTGTGTTTCAAAACAGCAAGAGCTGCTTCCACATCCTCATTAGACTGCATTTTGTCAGCAGCTAAGTTGGATTGTCCATGGCCTGGCCCACCAACTTCAGAAAAAAATAAATACATGAGCTTGTGCCCACACATTTGACATTTTATTGCCATCATACTATAACTGATTTGTAAACTTACTTTTGGTAGATTTCCTTACTGATGCACCCTTCTCCTCAGCAGCTTTTCTTTGAATGGTCTTCAAGCGCCATGCAAGGTATCCTGACCCACTCTCTGGATCGTAATAGTGTTCCTATATAATAAAACACAAAGATACAGAATATGTTATCAGTATTTATACCATCAATATTTAGCTTAATGTTGTTACGACCATTTTGCTTACATATCCATGTTTTGAAAGGGGGTCTTCCAGATATGGAAACAAGGCAACAATTCCTTGTGCATACATCACTCTGACAGTTCGAGGGGGAGATGTTCTGATAAATAAGCACAATGATGACTGTCACACATTTGATATCAAAATAAATATAGTAAATATGCTATTTTTAGCCTATATAAATTTACCCATGCTTTTCTGTCATCTCAGCAGCTAGAATGTTTATCATCTGTCTTCTGGTGGCATCTGTCAAAGATTTGGTTTTTGCGTACTCCTGCATGATGCGTTCACCACCAGGCTTTGTAGTTAGGATCTGTTTAATCAACTTAAAATGAAATGAAGAATGTAGTCATCAAAAACTGAGGTACACATATCAGTGTTAGATTTAACAGTAATGAATATTACTCACTGCCAGTGCCTCGTAGTTTATGTGACATGGCTTTTTAGGCTGATTTCCTCCATCAGTTGCTGAATCTTCAGCAGGATCACACATGGTGAAGTTCAGAATAATAGTATCATCAGAAGATGCTGAAGATGATGTAGCCAATGGTGATAGAGAAGAACCTACACAAAGTGGAAAAAAAAAACAACAACAAAAAAATACAAAGACAAAAGTATATTAAATGTAACTGTGATGCTCCAATCCAAACCTTTAGGTTAAAAATGAACACGACTTTAAATAGTCCTTACCAAGTTCTTCATTACTCATCATGACTCGAAATGTGCCTGGGGACTCCTTCACTATTTCCTCAAAAACCTCAGCATCAATTTGGGTGTCAGACTGGTCATACACCTTCAGATCGAACAGTTTTTCTCCTGGTATGTCAAATTTTAGACACACTAAATAAGAGAAACAAAGGGTAAAGTCTGATGTTATTTACCAACTGCTGACAGGTTAAAAATCAGGTGAATAGGTCAATATAGTTGATTTTAATTAACAGCAGAGAAAATGATCAACTTCAGCAGTTCACACAATGTCTTATGATAAATTGTATAGATTCACCAAGTAAAATACTGTAATATTGTTTTATACTAACCTTCTTTCAGGAAGGCATCAAGTGTTAGGTCAGACAGTCTTACATACTTCTGCTCCCCACTAAATGAAACACGCAGCAGCATTTTCCTGTTAAAACAAAAGTAAAAAAAAAAAAAACATTAATTTCCCCTAATAGTGTATAGTGCTTTAGATGAGATGCTTTATTTTAGAAAAAATAAATATACAAAGATAATTTCTATATCAATAATTAGATAAATGCTCCAGTAATAACAAAAGAAAAACATCAAGTCAGCTGCTGCAGCCTGAAATCTTAATTGTGTCTGATGCTCGTTTGTGATAGTGGTTAAACTGGTCGACTGTTGCCTTAAGTCATCTCATAGCCACACACGACTCAATCCAGGATAGAAGGTTTATTCGGGTTCTGGTACATTTTGTCTTTGTGACTGGACTTAGCTTTGTTAGCCATTCCAGGATGCCTGCATCCTTGTGTGAGCTATGTGTATCACACAAACAACGAGCAAAAATAGAGGTTCAGATATGGGGTTCCCAATTTGTCACATACGGTAAGATTTTTATAGGCGATGTAGGCATCAAAACTTTATAAATGCACTTATTTTATTGATGATGACAGTACTTTAAAAATACGTTTCGGCGTTTAAGAAGTTAAAATTCGACAAATAAATGGCTGTGTCGCAAGCAGGACGATGCGCACTTTACCCCGAGCACAGCCACACATCGACTACTCGGCTCGCTTTGTAGGCGTCTGCTGTAACGTAACTTCTTTCTGTTAATTAGTGTCACAATTTTACAACACACAAACTGTTGCACAAGCACAACGGGCAAAACAAATAGTTATTATACATCATACTTTGGTAATGATCTTCTGTAAGAAAAACTAGCATTATTTAAGCGGACATTGCTACTTGCCGAGGAGGGCCCGACAGACTTCCATCAGGTGGTAAGGCCTGCTAGCTTCTATGCTAGCGGTGCTGCGCTGCTACTCGGAAAACTAACTCGAACGATGCGGTCCAACGGTTCCATGTGCTCTGATAGGAGTATGATAGCTTTATCGCAAGTAAGCTAGCAACAAGGTTAGCTAAGAATGCTAACAATGGTGGGTCATATTATATATTTAATTTGACCTAACACTTATTTAATTGTTTAAACTGGTACAGATCATCGACATATAAATATGGTACAGATAAATGTTGCACGTCACAATATTCAGACACAGATAAGTTCAGTATAATGCTAAATTGCTAATATTTCAAAATTTAAAAGTTACTAGAACTTCACCACAAATACCTGCCTTTATTTGGAGCGACTTCTAATGTTACACATATTTTACCTACAGTTTTTTAACTCCATTAACAACAAAATTAATAAATAAGTCTAACTTATTGTATGGTGACTCGTCTCTGTCCCAGTGACCACATTTGACTAAAGCAGCAGTCTGCAGTGTCCTTACTCCTTAATGACAATAGTTACATTACAAAACCTTAACTTGAACAATAATTTCAAAACCACATTAGTAATTTAGAAATGCTAAAATTGACTTACCTGACTGGCACCATGCACTCCAGAGCAAGTCCAGACTGGTTCAGACAAGCACCAAGCAGCTTTTAATGACTCTTTGGAAATAGGCGGGTAAATGAAATAAACTCTCTGTAGAGTAGAAATTAACTCTGCATGTCTGCAGATTTTAACACCGAATTTTAACTCTACAGTTTGAGTTGATTTACTCTTCAAATAGTTGTAAATACTCTATCTAGGTTAAAATTATTTTACACTGTGATTTTAACACCCAATGTTTTACTGTGTACTCTCACGCCACCAGAACAGGAAGTAAAAAAGGAAGGGATAGCATCCAACCCTGCTGTCGCAGTCCGCTGTACCACTCTGCTTAATGTCTTCATTATTGTGTTGCTAAAGAAGGATCTCAACGATGACGATGTTACCATAGAAACCACAAAAAAGGTCTTGCAGCATTTTCCCCCAACAGCCCGCTCTGCCTGAAACTTTCATTTCTAATCTGTGTAGGGCTAAATCACTTTCTCACAAAATGTTAGACTTGGCCTCTCCAACTCATTCTCCCTCTCAGTCTCCAGGGAGAGGGAGCACTGTCACTTCCTGTACACCTTTGAATTCACCAAAGTAGCAACTTTACAAAGTTTGCTGATTGCTAAGTGATGATTATGGGGAGAAAAAAGTCTCAAAAGATCTGTGTGTGCGTGTGTGTGTGTGTGTGCGCGTGTGTGTGTGTGTGTGTGTGTGTGTGTGTGTGTGTGTGCGTGTGTGTGTAGATTTGAGCGTGTATATCTAGATTTGTGTGTGCGTAACTAAAGATTTGTGCATGTCTGTGTATCTAGATTTGTGTGTGTGTGTGTGTGTATCTAGATTTGTGTGTGTGTGTGTGTGTATCTAGATTTGTGTGTGTGTGTGTGTATCTAGATTTGTGTGTGTGTGTATCTAGATTTGTGTGTGTATCTAGATTTGTGTGTGTGTGTGTATCTAGATTTGTGTGTGTGTGTATCTAGATTTGTGTGTGTGTGTATCTAGATTTGTGTGTGTGTGTATCTAGATTTGTGTGTGTGTGTATCTAGATTTGTGTGTGTGTGTATCTAGATAAATGCACCAGACAAGGAAGGGCTTCTCAGGCCAGTTTATGTGTGTGCACAATAATGGTGGGGCAGTTTACATGTTATTGTGTGCACGTTAGAGCCCTGCACAGGCCGAAAATCTGAGCCCGTGTCCGGCCCGGCCCGGGGGATGGAGCCCCAGCTCGACCCGGTCCGAAAAGATTTTCAGGATTCTCTGGCCCGACCCGAGCCCGACTTTTTTTTTAACCAACTAAATGAAAACAAAGTGCGTCAATCCTGACCAGTGTGTTAAAAGACGTGCAGGATCCGATCAATTTGTTTTTCCCTCGTTTACCGTCATGGAGATAACGGCGCAGTGCGCCTGGCTCTGGTGGTAATCAAGTTAAATTTTATCTCTTTCCAACAATTTTCACAAGAAAACAGAACAGTTAAAAGCAGGGCTTGTGTTGACCGGATAGTTCCCGTATTTGACGGTTTATTTTGACGGAGAAAGAATAGAAAGAATTACCCCGACGCATGCAGACGAACTGACATTTTATTCATTACACACATCGCAGATGTAGCTAAATCACCCAAGAAAAGATTCCCATCTGAACATCTGAGCTGCTCAGCGCAGCTCGCTGTCAGCGCATATGTGCACAGCGAGCTGAAGTTGTGGAGATTGGCTTGGAGCGCGTTGCAGATTTGTGTATGCCTTAGTAAACAGCCATTTACAGTATCGATGAATAAAATGTAAATAGTAGGAACTTGAAGTAATCAATTGTAAATATCTTTTCACTTTATTTAATTATGTTGGGGTTATAGGTGAGCGAATAATTTGTAAGCTGTTACTTACTTTTGGATTCTTCAATAAATTCTGTAAATATGGGAATATTTGCCGATTTATTAATTAAGATATTCTTAGATATCTTCGGGGCACCACCCCTTTAATAGGGGAAATGAATCCAAAATTATTATCAGTCTGTCTGAAATTCGTGGACTCGTTTAGGAGCAGAAATTTTCAGCCAACACAAACATCACCTTAGGCAGAGCTTAATTGAATTTAACACATTTATTAACTATCCTATTTGATCAACTGAATAAACAATGAAATAATGAATAATAATAATGTGATATAATTGAAGATGTGTGTGTATTCAAAATGATGTTCAAGGTGTGCTTGTGTGTGTGTGTGTGTGTGTGTGTGTGTGTGTGTGTGTGTGTGTGTGTGTGTGTGTGTGTGTGTGTGTGTGTGTGTGTGTGTGTGTGTAATGTCCAAATTGGAGTCTGTATGACTCCCCTTTTGTCTCACCACTTGTGGAATGCGGGGGAGTGTGTGAGTTTTTGTGTGTGTGAGCTTGAGACCTTCAGTGAAGCCCATTTTCTTCTACCTCTCCAGACAAAGAAAAAAGGTTAGCTTGTACTTTAGACTAAATTTCACAGTAACTTAAACACTTCAAAAGTTTAAACCCGCTTCAGAGAAATCAACTCAATCATTACTGAAACACCTTTATGTCTGCCAGCCTGGCCACAGCGTGACAAACTTAGATATTAACAATAACAAAACAAAACAAAACGGCTTACTTCAAGATAGTCTGTATGACGTATTTGGTACGGAAGAGAAACCGTATTTTACTTCTAAACGATCCGCGGTTTGATCGCTTATTTTGAACTATAGAGAAAACGGAAGAAGAAAGAAAAAATAGAGAAAGAAAAACTTTGAACGAACAAAAACAGCGAGGCGTCCCTCCGATGTTCCAGTCGGCGTTCTCCGTTGATCTGACAGTTTTTTGCTGCTTCTCTGCGGCTCGGCCTCTTGTCGTGTCCGAAACCTTAGCAGAACGAGCGTCCCTCCACCGCCAGCTGAAGCTGGAACGTAAGAGAAAGTTTCCCTCTGGGCTTCAGTCCTTTATAGTTCCCCCCCTTCTCGGCGGGCTGGCCCTCTGTGAGTTCAGAGGTCATCACACTGCTTCCGTGTGCAAAGACCCATGGGAAATGAAGTCTCTCTTTGCTTCAACTTATTATCTGCTTTTCAAATTGCAGATTACACAGTTTTTGGAGAAATTACTGCAGCAATTTCTCATAAGGGCAGACCCTCAAAAATTATTATAGTTTGAAGAATGCCGTAACTGTCAAAGCCAGTGCAGATTATTATACATGTGCAACACTGTTAAACCATTTTTTCAGTAAGATAATTGTCATTTTTCCATGTGTTTATTGAAAAGAAAAAAGCTGACTAATCACAGAAATAATGATTAGTTGATTAGAAACAAGTGCTCATCTAGAACATTTGAAATTTGTGTTACAGCAGTTCATGTTTTCAACTTAAATATCAAAATATTACAGAAAGTTAGCAAATCGTTAGCAAGTATGCAGGTGCTTCAGTATTGTAGTGGGCACAATCATCAACAGACACGTTTGTTTTATAAGAGGTTGAAAGTAATTTGCTTTAACCAGCGTTTCAGGATCATAAGGACATTTTCAGAGTCATGTCTTGGTGAAGCAGCAATGAAAAACGTTTTTCTTGAAATATTTATGTAAATAAAAACATTCAAGAGCATATTTTAGCCAAGAAAGCTCATTAGCAAATTCTAGTTTAAGGCTTCTATAGGAGAACAACAAGCAGACATGTTTCAAACTTTTATTAAAGTGCTCTGATCCTGGATCTGGGAAGGTTCTGGAGTGGCTGGTCTGAGGATCTGGAGAGTGATGATGGAGAAGCAAGACAGAACATCTTCAGAAGCTCCTGTAAGACAAGTATAACAGTAAAACAACAACAACAACAAAAAAACAATAGTAAATACTGAAAGCGGATGAGCTTAAGAAGAAGGGAGTTTTGGACAGAAAGAGCACCGATGTTCCAGCTGGACTCAGCCCGGAGAATCTGTGATGAATTAGTGCTGCCTCAACCTCCTCTTCTTTCATTGGGTCACTGAAGTTTAAATTAAGTGGATGAGAAACCCATGGGGAGGCCTCTGCATAAATGAGAGTAACGTTGAATTTTAAACGCGTGAAAACTGTCACAAAGTGGCGTTAAAAATGGAGTCACAGAGCAGCGAAAAAAGCAGCGTTCAATGTCCGTACAAAACGCCATTTTTTACGCCACCCACACAGGGAACGCGTCTGGGATTAGAGTGACGTAAAAAACGGCGTTCAATGTCCGGAAAACAACATCGTTTTTTCCGGCGTTCTAAGGGACCGTTAAGAACGGCTCTGGCTGGCGTCAAATACGGTGTTCTGGGAGAGTTTTCGCCATATTTTACGACGTCTTGACACATCAAACAGCGTTTTTTTTTCTCGCCATCTCTTAAAGAGCGGGTCAAGTGTGCCTCCGAGTCCTTCTCCACCCACGTATCAACTTTAAAAACTGCAACATTAGTAGGCGTTGCCTGGAGGACCGAGAGGGCGGAGCCGCGGCAGTGACGAAGACGATGGCTAACTAGACGATGCTAGCTCCCTTCACTCTGAGCAGTCATTAGAAGTGGAGGACGTTTCTCCCCCTCCTTACCCAGACACTCGAGAAGAAAGGGACCAAGTCTAATTGGAGGAGACAAGCGGATCTGAGCCTTATTGTTTTGAGCTTGTGAGTTGCCTGAAACTACCGGAACCAACCCAAAAGAACCAGCTCTGAATGGTAACCCATAGCATTAGATTAGCTGCAGGGTTTGGCTCCACGGCCCTAGAGAGCTAGTATTCAGCATGTTTTAGAGGTTTATCTGCTTCAACACACCTGGTTTTAATCAGCAACAAAAAGCTGAGCTGCTTAACAGCTAATATAACCTGTTAAAGCAGGAAAACCACTGAAACGTGCTGGATAGCAGCTCTCCAGGAGCTCTGGGCTCAAGTTACAGTCTGCTGCATAGAAAGTTATGAAACTACCCCATGAGAACATTATTCTGTAATGTGTTCAGCCCACTAAAACTGCCCAGATTTCATTATTTATTTACTGATAACAGCTGCTCTCTTGGTTGTAGGTGATCCTCTGGTGTCTGCAGCTGGTCTCGTCTGCTGGTGTCGTCAGGATCAGGAGCTTCCAGAAGAATGTGCCTTTGACTCTTTCCTCCTCTAAACAGATATTTGTTATATTAATACATCTCAATTTATATATTTCCTGTTTTTGTTCATGTCCATAAATACTTAAACATGCTTGAAATTAAAACGAGCTTTTAACAGTGAGGTGCACGTTTAATTCATCACAATAGAGCTAGTTAAACATGCAACAATGTGATAATTCAATTAATGTAATTTATAAATATCCATTAAAATATCAAAACTGGAATCTAAATGAGACATTTGGCAGCACAAAAAACGTGTCAAACACAATATTTATTATAATAATTGTAGGCAGACAGGAGACAGAGCTGATGGAGGTTCTCAGTCATCGAAGGATGGCTGAAGGCTTTCCAGGAACAGGAGATTCAATTCAATTCAATTCAAGTTTATTTATATAGCGTCAAATCACGACAAGAGTCGTCTCAAGGCACTTCACATAATAAACACTCCAATACAAGTCAGTTCATTAAGCCAATCAGAAATAATGTTTCCTTTATAAGGAACCCAGCAAATTGCATCAAGTCACTGACGAGTGTCAGTGACTATACAGCAATCCTCATTTAAAGCAAGCATGCAGCGACAGTGGAGAGGAAAACTCCCTTTTAACAAGAAGAAACCTCCAGAGAATCCTGGCTCAGTATAAGCAGCCATCCTCCACGACTCACTGGGGATGGAGAAGACAGAGCACACACACACACACACACACACACACACACACACACACACACACACACACACACACACACACACACACACACACAATAATGTGTCTATAGTTCTATTGTGATGTCTTAGTAAATTTTCTATTTGGTGAAAGATAAACTTTATTGTATTTATCCTAGTGGATCTATAATTAAACGGGTAAACTAGCAGTAGCACATCCAACGTCAAGGAAAGTAAAATGTTATTATCAGTAGAGGGAGAATGTTTAAGTGGTTAGCAGCAGTGTGCTAGTCGATGGCCCCCTCCATGAGGCCACCACAGCTCAGCAGAACATCGTTGTAGCTTCTTCTTGGGAGAAAAACACTTAGAGAAAAAATAAAGTTAACAGCTGAAATTGCAGAAAGTAATACAGTTAAAGAGCAGATTGTAGAAGAAAGCAGTAGAGTGTGGAAAGTGGTCAGATGTGGTGTTGTCTCTTCTCTCTCTATTCTGCCAGATGAGCTGATAGGTTACAGGTGTGTGAGGACATCCTCATGCTGTCATAACCAGATGACAGGAGTTATCAGGTGATCAGCCAGGCTAATGAGATGCAGAAAGACAACAAATCCAGGACAGTGTACAATATGTGGTGTTGCTCACCTTATGTGCTCTTCTAGAGTATTAACGTGTGCCTGCCTCATGGTGTAGAGTCCATATTTTGCTGAGTCTCCTGCAATAATGCAGGTTATTAGTTAATTTACTTTTGATAGCAAAAACAAAATATTTAATGTAAAAGTTATTTACCAGGTGAATAAGCTCACACGTCACCACCAAGTGTCACAGGGCCAGAATCAGTAGCCTCCTTCATGATGTCATGATGTAATCACATACTTATTTAATTGTTAATATCTTAAAAATTCTGAAATGTTTTAATTTTTTTACCTTGAACAGTTCACTGAGCTTGCACTGTCACTGAGGTGGAAGCTGGAATCAACAGCAGGCACCTCACATCTTGGTCTTTTCAGGGGTGTGGACGCTGCTCTGGGACTTTCTGGAAGATGAATTTCCGTCATGGTCCCTGTGTCACAAGACACTGAGGCTGTGAGCTCTATTCTGGCTGGCTATGTAAAAAACAAAGAAGTAGCACATTTATAAATGTTTAAAAGAGCATAAAATCACGTGTAACAATAATCTGTAAAACAAATTAAAACTAGAAGGTAATAATAAAATGTTTACATAGAAGATTATTAAAAATAATCATGTCAGCCTGGACAAGTGCATTCTTGCAGCTAAATCAGTCTGACAGCCAGTGTCTTGGGCAGATTTAGTCTGAAAAAAAAATAGAAGCACATTGTTGTTGGAGTTTATAAAGTCAGATAACAAAAGAAAGTGTCCTATATAGGCGCTTTATAACATTCCTAGTGTGTGATCGTTGTTATGACGTAAAAGTCAGTCACACATGATGTGGAGAGCCTGAAATGTGACCTCCTGAACAGAATTCCTTACAGAACCGGGTCACAAGCTGGATTTCACGCTGTAATGCTGTCTGTCAACTAGTGCTGCGTCAGTTAGAGCCACTGTTGCAGAATT